GCTAGGGTACATATAGCTAGGGTACATATAGCTAGGGTACATATAGCTAGGGTACATATATCTAGGGTACTAGCTAGGGTACATATAGCCAGGGTACATATAGCTAGGGTACATATATCTAGGGTACATATAGCTAGGGTACATAAAGCTAGGGTACATATAGCTAGGGTACATAAAGCTAGGGTACATATAGCTAGGGTACATAAAGCTAGGGTACATATAGCTAGGGTACATATAGCTAGGGTACATATAGCTAGGGTACATATAGCTAGGGTACATATATCTAGGGTACATATAGCTAGGGTACATAAAGCTAGGGTACATATATCTAGGGTACATATAGCTAGGGTACATATAGCTAGGGTACATATAGCTAGGGTACATAAAGCTAGGGTACATATATCTAGGGTACATATAGCTAGGGTACATATAGCTAGGGTACATATATCTAGGGTACATATAGCTAGGGTACATAAAGCTCTAAACGAACACATTCACACATGCAGCTGAGACATTATTATTATTATTATTATTATTATTATTATTATACAGCTCCTGTGGGGGGGGGGGGGGGAGAGGGTTGGAATGCATTAGGGCTTAATCAGGGAACTGGAACACTTAATTTTGATGCACTATTAATTAATAAAATTCTGTACCTATTTTGGATGATAAGACATACATATACACATGATTATAAATACATTATATCTATAATATACTTCTACGAGAAATATATGTTCAGTAATACTGTATAGGGGAATAGGATATATACCGCCAGAGAAGAGTTGGAAGGGGTATTTGTGTACAGTATATGCTTATACTTACATGAAATGGCTACCTACTTATATAAACAACACTTATTTCTGATTATTAGCCCTGTAGAGTTAATATAATATAGAAATAAGCAGCTTATTTCTGATAGGGTTCTTTGGCCATTTTCCCCAGGATATGAGCCATTCTAGCCAACTAATCTGTATTTCTAATGGGCATAATTACCATCGTATTTACTATGTATTTCGTAAGGTGAAGTCCAGGATCTTTCCTTAATTCATGGTATGACTTAACATATCTTTGAGGAGAGTTGTATTCCAGAAGTCTGAGCTTTCCTCAGACTTCTGGACGAGGTAGATTATAGTTATTAGAAGACCGGGGAACTTTCGTGCCTCTTAATGCTCGGGAAAGACAGGAATGAGGTGTAGAAGCACTTGGTCATGTTTACGCCTTGACCAGAGGAAAAACTCGCGTCCAGCCATTTGCTAATTGAAGTTACTACACACTTCCAGAAGTCTGAGCTTTCCTCAGACTTCTGGACGAGGTAGATTATAGTTATTAGAAGACCGGGGAACTTACGGGCCTCTTAATGCTCGGGAAAGACAGGAATCAGGTGTAGAAGCACTTGGTCATGTTTACGCCTTGACCAGAGGAAAAACTCGCGTCCAGCCATTTGCTAATTGAAGTTACTACACACTTACCTAAAACATCTTTGTCTATAGCATCAGCGTTATTAGTGAGGCTGAAGGTATGATTGGTACCAGAGGCTGAGTTGGTCTCCCAGATGATGCCACAGTATCCGTCAGCCATCTTCACACACACACCGTAGTCCAGGCCAGCAATCTGACCTGTACCTGAAACAGTACAGTGTTAGTGTATGTGGTGACACATGGTAATGTGACCCAGTTTAAGAGCAGAGACACAAGAGAACATTATCAGTATACTAGGTGACTTACAGGAGCAATCTTGGCCATGATGCCAGTAGATACACAATAACATATTTTATAAATTAAACACACATATGGTAGATCGGACTTGAGTCGAGATGTTTCATTCTGAAGAGCTGGATAACTATAAGATTTGTTGGTATTTTTACCCCGGGGGAGAGAGGGTTAGCCACCCAGGGTAACTCAAGGAAGTCTGTCCGTCATCAAGGACTGTGTCTTATTTCCGTTTCCGCTGGTGTGTGTGACATCCCCCACAACAGTCGACTAACTCCGAGATACCTACTTACTGCTAGGTGAACAGGGACACCAGGTGTGAAGCGACTAACTCCCAGGTACCTACTTACTGCTGGTGAATAGGGGCAGCACGAATAAGGTGATTAACACCCAGTGCTAGGTGAACAGTGACAGGTGTAAATAGGTGACCTCCCAGGTACCTACTTACTGCTGGCTCTGGGACAGCAGGTGTAAGAAAAGAAGCCCAACATTTCCACCCGTGTCGGGAATCGAACCACGGTCACTCAGTGTATAAGGCGATAGCGTTGTCAACAAAACCAACAGATTCATACACAGAGCTAAACATCATCCCAGTAAAACTCCTCTTACAACATGTGTCCTGCCTCCACTCAGTGTTAAAATACGACACCTGCTGTCCCTATTCACCTATCAGTAAAATAAGTACCTGGGTGTTAGTGGACTGGTGTGGGTCGCATCCTGGGATAAAACTGACTTCATTTGGCCGAAATGCTCTGCATAACAAGGGACTTCCTATAGTATTATATCATTGATGTCAGCTATGTCCTGTATACCTTGTACATGTACTTCTTGAAATATATTATTACTAATTATTATTATTATTATTATTATTATTATTATTATTATTATTATTATTATTAAAACAGTGATGACCTGCAGCAGTAACCTGAACTATGGTGCTGAGATGATCCAGGGGAATATTTCTAATTTTGAATTATAAATGATGATTGAAAATTAGTATAATAATCATGACAGAAAATAAATAAGCATAATTTGTGATATCAAATAAAATCATTACTTACTTTGACTACATGAGATATATATATATATATATATATATATATATATATATATATATATATATATATATATATATATATATATATTTTTATTATCACACTGGCCGATTCCCACCAAGGCAGGGTGGCCCGAAAAAGAAAAACTTTCACCATCATTCACTCCATCACTGTCTTGCCAGAAGGGTGCTTTACACTACAGTTTTTAAACTGCAACATTAACACCCCTCCTTCAGAGTGCAGACACTGTACTTCCCATCTCCAGGACTCAAGTCCGGCCTGCCGGTTTCCCTGAACCCCTTCATAAATGTTACTTTGCTCACACTCCAACAGCACGTCAAGTATTAAAAACCATTTGTCTCCATTCACTCCTATCAAACACGCTCATGCATACCTGCTGGAAGTCCAAGCCCCTCGCACACAAAACCTCCTTTACCCCCTCTCTCCAACCTTTCCTAGGCCGACCCCTACCCCGCCTTCCTTCCACTACAGACTGATACACTCTTGAAGTCATTCTGTTTCGCTCCATTCTCTCTACATGTCCGAACCACCTCAACAACCCTTCCTCAGCCCTCTGGACAACAGTTTTGGTAATCCCGCACCTCCTCCTAACTTCCAAACTACGAATTCTCTGCATTATATTCACACCACACATTGCCCTCAGACATGACATCTCCACTGCCTCCAGCCTTCTCCTCGCTGCAACATTCATCACCCATGCTTCACACCCATATAAGAGCGTTGGTAAAGCTATACTCTCATACATTCCCCTCTTTGCCTCCAAGGACAAAGTTCTTTGTCTCCACAGACTCCTAAGTGCACCACTCACTCTTTTTCCCTCATCAATTCTATGATTCACCTCATCTTTCATAGACCTATCTGCTGACACGTCCACTCCTAAATATCTGAATACATTCACCTCCTCCATACTCTCTCCCTCCAATCTGATATCCAATCTTTCATCACCTAATCTAATACATATATATATATATATATATATATATATATATATATATATATATATATATATATATATATATATATATTATATATATATGTCGTGCCGAATAGGTAAAATTGGTCACTTAGCAAGAACTCATTTAAAAGTAAGTCCTTTCTAAAAATTTCTCTTGTAAGTTTAAATATATATATATTTTTCATTATATTAATGTAAAAATTAATAATTTTGCACCAAAAGAACCTTAGAAAACTTACCTAACCTTATTATAACAAGCGCAATTTAATTTAGCCTAATCCTAGATAAGTTTACAGTAATTTAATAATAAACAAACACAATGAAATATATTTTTTTCCTTAGGCTCAGAATGATTTTTGGAAATTATTGCATACAAAAGAGTGTTGCTATTTAAGCCAGAATCGCAAGTTTTACCTATTCGGCACGACATATATAATTTTTTATTAACTCATCGGCCATTTCCCAGCGAGGCAATGTGACCCGAGAAAGAAGAATCACTTTCATCATTATTCTATATATATAGGCCTGAGGCCTTTCAATCCCTGATAGGAATGTTCATCAGAAGCCGGATGGGCGAAACATCACTAGCTGCTTGGTTCATGTTTGAGCGGAGCCGGTGACTTAATGGATAAAACGAATTTAACGACAGGGAAAAACATTCAGTCAGTGAGTCTTAGATAGGCTCGCCAGCTCTTGCGCCACTTAGCCAGCTGGTCAGATAACAGCAGCTGCCACCACTCACCTGACGAAGGTGTAGGCGAGCTGTTGAAGTTGAAGCTGCTGACGATGCCAGAAGTGGTGGTGTAGTACTGCAGACATCCGCTAGGTGCTGACACCGTACGTAAACAAACATGGAGGAAAGAAAACAAAGAACAAGTGACTGGCGAAGTACCGCATTGCAGTTCAGTACTGCAGTACAGTGATATTAGTATCGTCTGGCACTGCTGCCGTTATATTTTCTTCTGGTTCTAATTCACTTACTGAACTGTTTCTTTATATAGTTTGATTCACAGGCCATTCACAGGTTCATTTACAGGCTAAGAGCTGTTATCTTACCTCTGTAGAGTTACAGGCTCTACTCTATTTAATGCCCAACGATGAGGGTGCCACCTAAGACAGTCACTAACACCCAGGTACCTATTTACTGCTAGATGAACTGGGGTACCAGGCGTAAGGATACATAAGAACATAAAGGAGGAACACTGCAGCAGGCCTACTGGCCCATACATGGCAGGTCCTTCTCAAAAATAACCATTCTCACGTCTTCACCCGTCCCCGGTATCGAATTCGTATCTTTCGATTGTAAACAAAAGAGGCAAACACTGGATGATTATGGTGGCTGTACTCACCCGTGTCCCGTGAGTCACAAGTGATTTGCGTCACCTGGATGATCCATGAGCGGTTCATTGCTATACCTGAGCGGTCCACCGTCACCCTTACTGGTCCACCCAGTGGGTCCACGTCCAGGTACACTGTGAACATAAGAATATAAGGAAGGAGAAACAGGGCTATTGGCCCATACTAGGCAGGTCCTTCTGAAACCCAAACGCACTAACAAAAATAATGGCTTAACCCTTTGCCTAGAAAGAATTAACTCTGTGGCATGTGAGGTATACTCAAGGCACATTCCTTTAACAAAAAAGAAGAGATGTAAGCTGGAAAGAGAGAGATGCTCTCTCTATTGGCGAAGGTGAAGAATCACGAAGCTGCTGAAAGCGGCCAGCATGTCTGAAATACGGAACGAGGCAATGGCCGGAGAAATAGCAAATATCAAATTTACGCTTAAGAAATCATGCGGGGGGTCAAAAAGCACAGGAAGAACATCGAGTCATAAATGAAATTGATAAAAAACGAAACTATTTCTTTTCTTTTGCCAAATTTAGGGCATAAATCACATCCAGTAATGGACCCCTGCTTTAATGAGATGGATCTTACCCAGATAACAGCAAAGAAATGAGTGAGATACTGGAGTCCCAGTAAGACTCAGCATTTAGTGAACCATTAATCAGACTAAAGGTCGGCAATCTAAATTAATTTCTATGACCGAGACTCAAATTTTGTTTAATTCAACAATTTCTGATATAATCCTAACAACACAGGACTTTGAAAAAAACAATGAATGACATGCTCATGCACTCTGCCTCAGGCCCGGACTCGTGGAACTTCGTGATCATCAAGAACTGCAAGAAACCCCTTTCATGTGCCTTAAATATTCTATTCAGAGGAAGCATGGACACAGGTGTTATCCCACAGTCACTAAAAACAACAGACATAGCCCCACTCTACAAAGGTGGCAGTAAAGCAATTGCAAAGAATTACAGACCAATAGCACTAACATCCCACATCATAAAAAAGTCTTTGACGAAAGGGTTCTAAGAAGCAGGATCGCCACTTAGATACCCATCAGTTGCACAGCCCAGGGCAGCAACTACTGGACCACTATGACATAGTCTTGGATGCTTTGGAGGACAAAGAAAATGCAGATATTGTATACACAGACTTTGCGAAAGCCTTTCACAGGTGTGACCACGGTGTAAGAACACACAAAATGCGTGATTAAGGAATAACAGGAAAAGTTGGTAGATGGATCTATAACTTCCTAACAAATAGAACACAGAGTAATAGTAAGCAGAGTAAAATCAGAGGCTGCTACAGTGAAAAGCTCTGTTCCACAAGGCACAGTACTCGCTCCCATCCTGTTCCTCATCCTCATATCTGACATAGACAGAGATGTAAGCCACAGCACCGTGTCCTTCTTTGCTGATGATACCCGAATTTAGATGAGTGTCATCCATCGAGGACACTGCAAATCTCCAAGCGGACTTTAGCTGGGCCGGAGAAACAATATGATGGTCAAAGAAGACAAATTTCAATTACTCCGCTAAGGAAAACTCGAGGAAATAAAAACCGGTATAAAACAAATTCCAGCCACACAACAGAGTGAAAAGCTAATGTGAAGGACCTGGGAGTGATAATGTCACAATCTCACTTTCAAAGATCACAACAATGTATCTACCACATCTGCTAAGAAAATGGTAGGCTGGATAAGGAGAACCTTCAAAATTAGAGGTGCCAGGCCACTGATGATTCTTTTCAAACCGCTTGTTCTCACTAGGCTGGATTACTGTTGTAATGGCCCCTTTCAAGGCAGGTGAAATTGCAGATCTGGAGAATATGCAGAGAACTTTCACGGCACGTATAAGTACAGTAAAACACCTAGATTACTGGGAATGGTTGAAGTCCCTTGACCTGTAGTCCCTGAAACGCAGGTGTTCTCGCCTGCGACTTGTCCTAGAGGGACTAGTCCCAAATCTGCACATGGAAATCATTCCCTACTAAAACAGAAGACTGGACAGGCGGTGCAACATCCCCCGTCCCAATGAGTACGCTAAGAGACAACACAAGTGTCAGGGGCCCAAGACTGTTGAACTGCCTCCCAACATACATAAGGAGGATTATCAATAGAGCCCTGGCTGTCTTCAAGAGGGAGCTGGACAGGCAGGGCTGTGGTTCATACGTCTGTTTGTGTGCAACCAGGAGTAACAGCCTGGTTGATCAAGCATTGATCCACCGCGAGGCCTGGTCACAGACCTGACCGCGGGGGCGATGGCCCCCAAAACTCCTTCCAGGTATACTCCAGGTAACTCATTTTCAATGTTACCCAAGAAATAAGCTTTGATAACCCTGTTAACTTACGTTTAAATTTTACTCAAATCCAACTCCTCTCACTCAAATATTCATCTAACCTAAGTCTGAAGCTACCCAAGGTTTTAGCTTCAATGACACTACTAGGCAGACTGTTCCACTCATTGACTACTGTGGGACATCCGTACTCCAGTTGCACTCTCGTACACTCACTCATGTTTATATCCAGTGCATACTCGATCACCAGTCTGACTTGTCAGTGACTGGACCATGATTAGTGGAGGGAGGCTCAAGCCTCCATCAACACCTTGGAATGGGCGAGTGTGATGAGTTAGGATTCACAAGAGTCAGTACTGGTACCATTTCTTGTGTTAGTTGAAAGGACACAGATGCAACTAATGAGACATAAGATGCTGCATCTGTGCTCGTTTACCTAACTTTTTGTCCGTAATTCTACCATTATCACTATTTCTTGTGTATGTGAACGACATGGCGGAAGAAACAGAAAGAGTAGAAATAAATCCGGACAAACTGCAGGACTGGTCTGACAAGTGGTTATTAGCATTTAATTTCCAGCAAATGCAAAGTTATGAACATTGAAGTAAATAAGACAGGAAACAGAGTACAAGCTCGTTGGAAGCCTCAGATGGGCATAGTTTCATGCATTTCATTTGTGGCGATGCGAGTTTAGGAAATGTAAGGGTAGCTTTTAGGAATCTCAGAAAGGAGTCATTAACGACATTATATATAACAATGTCAGGCCTATTAGAGTATGCAGCACCAGCATAGAACCCACACCTGATCATTATAAAAACTGGAGAAAGTGTAAACTTTTGCAACGAGACTAGTCCCAGGCCTGAGGAAATATGTACCATGAAGAGAGACTAAACGGGCTAAAATTTTATGACAGAGGACAGAAGAACAAGGGGTAACATAAGAACATAAGAAAGAAGGAACACTGCAGCAGGCCTACTGGCTCATGCGGGACATGATAACAACATACAAAATACTGAGAATAAATGATATGCAAAAATCACAGGAAAGTCATCATCGTAAGGAAACCAAATCTCAAAAGAACAAAAGCTTGGAGAAAGGACAGAATGAATCCATTGCCAGACAGCAGAGATGCTTACTGAGGAACCAAAACACTAAAGCCAAGGCAAAGGGTAAAAAGTTTTTTCATACTGACATTAGAAAGAAAATGGCAATAATAACAATAAAGATGAGGTAACACTTGCGCAAGCTCACGAAACAACTAAAAATTTACATATTTCGCCCAAGTTCGTGTGTTGCCTTCGCATTTTTTCACAGACTGGGAGAGTGTAACGTGAGTTCTTACTGTGTTGTCCACTGTTGGAGCCACAGATTCTTGGCACTGTGGAGGACGGGCTGACGGCGAGGAAGTCAACATTACAGTTACCGTCAACGTCCGGCTGCGCCAACTGGAAGTCAATGAAGTTTAAACGAAGCTGACAGATGCTGGTGTTGACGCGGTTGACAGTGAGAGTGCAGGCTCCTGTCCCTGAGTCAGTACTGTTGAAGCTGGGGTTGACGAAGTATGTGTTGTTATAGCTGGTGGTCTCCCCACAGCTGTGACGAGCTGTTGACACACACACACACACACACGTCAGTAAACACAGATACTCAACCGAATATTTAAGTTAAGTAAAGGTGATTTAGACATGTATGGAAGAAATCACAATAAAGCGCTAATGGGGTACCTTTCAGTTATTGTCATTCTTCAATTATTTGTATTTCCTACAATAAACATTTTAGTATTTATTATTAAAGATTCGCCGGTATTCTCCCGGCCCGGGCCTTTTCCAAGTGGTGGCCCGGCCTTGGTTCCCTCTTTAGGGAGTGTCTGAGACCTAAGTCTCCCATGGGAGGAGGCACAAGTACCCCCTCATCTTTGGGACCAACTGTCCCCAGGCCTAGCCACAAGCTAGGCCTCTCTGGTCTGCCATCCCCGTCCCAAGTGGACTAATGGGAATGGCAGTCTTATGAGCTACAAGCTCGGGCTCAGGCACCTACCCTACCCTAGAAGGGCTGGGCATGGTGTCCATATACAATAAACATATTCCTACTCACTTTAAGGTATGGACGAAACTATTTTAAGTAATGTGTCAACTATACATGCATTTTTAAGGCCTAGGTCTATTGCTCACTTAATATATGATAATGTAAACGCATTAACAGGCTTTTATATGCATTTGAAAGTGAAAAAAAAAAGTTATGATTCACTTTACAGCAAATTACACTGTATAGCAGTATTCTGGATCCTAACCTGCTGTATAAGCGGGTCCTAACCTGCTGTATAAGCGGGTCCTAACCTGCTGTATAAGCGGGTCATAACCTGCTGTATAAGCGGGTCCTAACCTGCTGTATAAGGGTCCTAACCTGCTGTATAAGCGGGTCCTAACCTGCTGTATAAGCGGGTCCTAACCTGCTGTATAAGCGGGTCCTAACCTGCTGTATAAGCGGGTCCTAACCTGCTGTATAAGCGGGTCCTAACCTGCTGTATAAGCGGGTCCTAACCTGCTGTATAAGCGGGTCCTAACCTGCTGTATAAGCGGGTCCTCCTCTATGTAAAATTCCCACAGTAAAAACAGGAAATGAAACTTGAGTATTGTCATGTGTTTACAGATATTGTCATGTGTTTACAGATATTGTCATGTGTTTACACATATTGTCATGTGTTTACACATATTGTCATGTGTTTACACATATTGTCATGTGTTTACAGATATTGTCCAGTGTGTTTACACATATTGTCATGTGTTTACACATATTGTCATGTGTTTACACATATTGTCATGTGTTTACACATATTGTCATGTGTTTACACATATTGTCATGTGTTTACACATATTGTCATGTGTTTACACATATTGTCATGTGTTTACACATATTGTCATGTGTTTACAGATGTTGTCATGTGTTTGCACATATTGTCATGTGTTTACACATATTGTCATGTGTTTACACATATTGTCATGGGTTTACACATATTGTCATGTGTTTACACATATTGTCATGTGTTTACACATATTGTCATGTGTTTACACATATTGTCATGTGTTTACACATATTGTCATGTGTTTACAGATATTGTCATGTGTTTACACATATTGTCATGTGTTTACACATATTGTCATGTGTTTACACATATTGTCATGTGTTTACACATATTGTCATGTGTTTACACATATTGTCATGTGTTTACACATATTGTCATGTGTTTACACATATTGTCATGTGTTTACACATATTGTCATGTGTTTACACATATTGTCATGTGTTTACAGATATTGTCATGTGTTTACACATATTGTCATGTGTTTACACATATTGTCATGTGTTTACACATATTGTCATGTGTTTACACATATTGTCATGTGTTTACACATATTGTCATGTGTTTACACATATTGTCATGTGTTTACACATATTGTCATGTGTTTACACATATTTTCAGAGGATGTGTGTGTAAGCACACGAAAGCGCTCAGATTTTGTTTCCTATTTTCACTGGTATTTTTACATACGTTTGTATATTATTGTAACTACGAACGGGTGGTATTGATCAATAACAACACTGCACTAGCCAAGGACTCGAACCCATGTTGTACTGGCCCGCCTTATGGAGAGATAGAACCACATGACGCCTTTTAACCCCTAGACTGTACTCTGTCTGCGATCTTCCTTGCCCTTCCCCAATCTTCATGACTTTGCACTTGGTGGGGTTGAACTCCAGGAGCAAGTTTCTTGTTCAGGCCTGCAGTTCTGCTGGTTCTCGTCCGATTGAATTCTTCTCATTAACTTCACATCATCTGCAAACATGGACACTTATGAGTTTATTCCTTCTGTCATGTCGTTCACATATAGAAACAGCACAGGTTCTAGGACTGACTCCTGTGGAACCCCGGTCGTCATAGGCGCCCACTCTGACACCTCGTCGCGTACCATGACTCGCTGCTGTCTTCCCGTCAGGTATTCCCTGTTATACCTGCCTGGTCCTCCAGCTTTTGCACTAATCTCTTGTGTGGAACTGTGTCAAAAGCCTTCTTACAGCACAAGAAAACGCAATCTACCCACCCCCTCTCTCTCTTGTCATACTGCTGTCACCCTGTCATAGAACTCCAGTAGGTTTGTGACACAGAATTTCCCGTCCCTGAAACCGTGCTGGCTGTCGTTGATAAGCTCATCATTCCTTTCTAAATGCTCCACCACTCTTCTCCTGATAACCTTCTCCATGACTCTGCATACTATACATGTCAGTGACACTGGTCTGTAGTGTGTATGAGGGGGCGGAGAGTGTGTGTATGTGTGTGTGTGTATGAAAAAATACCTCTGTGAAATAGAATATGAAAGCTTGGCGCTCAGGTTTAATTTCCTATTTCACAGTGGTATTTTTTCCTATTTATAATCACGCGTTTTATTGGTATATATATATATGTAATATATATATATATATATATATATATATATATATATATATATATATATATATATATATATATATATATTATATATATAAATGAAAAGCAGGGGTGTCACTAGCACGTTAAGAGACCATACAATAAGTGTCAGGGGCCCGAGACTGTTCAACTGCCTCCCAGCACACATAAGGGGGATTACCAACAGACCCCTGGCAGTCTTCAAGCTGGCACTGGACAAGCACCTAAAGTCAGTTCCTGATCAGCCGGGCTGTGGCTCGTACGTTGGTTTGCGTGCAGCCAGCAGCAACAGCCTGGTTGATCAGGCGCTGATCCACCAGGAGGCCTGGTCACAGACCGGGCCGCGGGGGCGTTGACCCCCGAAACTCTCTCCAGGTAAACTCCAGGTAATATATATATAAAGCAGCAGATGTATGAATGAAAGGAACAGCCAGTGAAGAAACAGATGTATGATTGTGAGGACGAAGGTTGTGAAGGTAGAACTGACCTATGCAGCAGACACCGAAGCCCCTGGCGCAGGTCCCTGAAGATCTACCACCGCTGCGGTTGCAGTCTGTGGAGGGCAGACAGGTGCCCACCGTCAGTGTAGAGTCAGTGGTGTTGCATGTGCTCCGTTGCATAGCAAACAGCACGAAAAACACTGCAATATTAACATATTAACATAAGTTGATAAATGAGACATTTGTGCAACATCTGGGGCATCTTTACTGAAGACGTTTCGCCATCCAGTGGCTTTATCGATACAGATTCTAGGATATAATTTGAAAACAGAAGAACTATACACAGAAGATGAGGTAATCAGTCCCTCAGTTTTGGAGTTGGTGATGAGCACAGTAGTCGGTGCTCTTCACGCTTATACTCTGAATATTTTTTATTGCATCTAAAAAAATCAGAGGTAACTTTGAGATGGTCAGTCCCTCAACCTTGTTAGATTTATCAATGCTAAAGAACTGAACAAACTCTATTAAGACTGAGGGACTGACCACCTTGACTTCATTTCTTTTGTCAGGTCCAGTGTATATTCTTTGTATTGCATGAGAAAATCACTGGATAGCTAGACGTCTCATCAGTTAATATACCCGGGTGAATATTATATGGTATACAGTACCGACAGGTTGATAAGTAAGACACGTGATAAGTAAGATACATGTGCAACAGTTAGGTATCTTTATTCCGAAACGTTTCGCCTACACAGTAGGCTTCTTCAGTCGAGTACAGAAGAGTGAGCAAAAGGGTAGAGATGTAAAGAAGATGTCATTAGTCCATCACTTTTGAAGTAGTAGTTTTGAGGTGGTCAGTCCCTCATTGTTCCAGACAATAGTGCAAAACTTCTCCAGGCTGAGGGACTGATTACCTCAATACTACGGCTTGAAAAGTGACGGATTGATGACATCGTTTTTACATCTCTACTGATTCTGCTGACTCTTCTGTACTCGACTGAAGACGCTTACTGTGTAGGACTTGTGCAATACCCAGGTGTTGCACAAGTCCTGTTCATTAACCCAGAACTCAATGGAACAGCACTGCTATAAAATATAGAAGATAGTAGGGTTATTGAAGCTAAAACCTTTGGTAGTTTCAAATTTAGGTTGGAGAAATTCATGAGTGAAAGGGGTTGGATTTGAGTTGGACTTGCACATGAGTAAATAAATTCATCGAAGCTTATTGCCTGGGTAGCGTTAAAAACGTGTTGGGTTAGGTCCTCAGTCTTGTGCCCCAGGATGCGACTCACCCCAGTCGACTAACACACAGGTACCTACTTGCTGCTAGGTGAACAGGACAACAGGTGTAAGGAAACGCGTCGAAATGTTTCTACCCTGCCGGGAATCGAACCTGGGCCCTCCGTGTGTGGAGCTAGAGCTTTTCCAGCCAGGCCACGGAACCACCCGTGATCCAACAAGCCTACTGCATTATTCCTCCTTTCTTATATTCTCATGTTCTTACAAGGCACACTTACGTGGCCTCGTTGATATGACCACAGAATATACTTGATAATTTAGACACATGCAACACTTGGGTATCTTTAATGAGGAAACATTTCCTCATTATAGATACCCAAATGTTGCATATGTGTCTAACTTATCAACTTGTCGGTTCTCTGAACCATTCATCTCCAGATTAGACTTACAACACTACGTTACCTGACCTTTCTCGTCTCTCTTGTTTGAAACATCGGTGCTGACTTCCCGTGACTCGCCGTGTAGGTCACCCAGACTCCCGAACACGGGGTCAAACTGTGAGTTTACCATTGTTGTAACACCAATCAAGAATACCAATGCCCGTATTAGTCCGAGTGTTTCTCCCTTTGACTGTGGGTGAAAGAAGAGGTTAAATAGATTAGTTTATTTACCTACAGGTGAACAATTATCATACATAGTGTACATTGTATTAATATTGGTAGAATTAGCGACAATATATAACGACTTGACAAAGTTCCTGGAGAGCGAAACGTTGCCTCAATAAAATGTCACATTAGTTGCACTTGTGTCCTTTTACTTAACATAGTGTAAATTTATGAATAATTAGAGACATGTACAACATCTGGGTATCTTCAGTTGTAGACGTTTCACCAGTCAGTGACTTTTTCAATACAAGGACATAATGTGAAGACTGAAGATGAGGTAATCAGTCCCTCAGTCTTGGAGTTGGTGAAGAGTACCGTAGTTGTGAAGACTACGTAGCCTTCAAGACTAGAACACCGTAGTTGTGATGACTACGTAGCCTTCAAGACTAGAACACCGTAGTTGTGATGACTACGTAGCCTTCAAGACTAGAGCACCGTAGTTGTGAAGACTACGAAGCCTTCAAGACTAGAACACCGTAGTTGTGATGACTACGTAGCCTTCAAGACTAGAACACCGTAGTTGTGATGACTACGTAGCCTTCAAGACTAGAGCACCGTAGTTGTGAAGACTACGAAGCCTTCAAGACTAGAACACCGTAGTTGTGATGACTACGTAGCCTTCAAGACTAGAACACCGTAGTTGTGAAGACTACGAAGCCTTCAAGACTAGAACACCGTAGTTGTGATGACTACGTAGCCTTCAAGACTAGAACACCGTAGTTGTGATGACTACGAAGCCTTCAAGACTAGAACACCGTAGCTGTGATGACTACGAAGCCTTCAAGACTAGAACACCGTAGTTGTGATGACTACGAAGCCTTCAAGACTAGAACACCGTAGTTGTGAAGACTACGTAGCCTTCAAGACTAGAACACCGTAGTTGTGAAGACTACGTAGCCTTCAAGACTAGAACACCGTAGTTGTGAAGACTACGTAGCCTTCATGACTAGAACACCGTAGTTGTGAAGATTACGTAGCCTTCAAGACTAGAACACCGTAGTTGTGAAGACTACGAAGCCTTCAAGACTAGAACACCGTAGTTGTGAAGACTACGTAGCCTTCAAGACTAGAACACCGTAGTTGTGAAGACTACGTAGCCTTCAAGACTAGAACACCGTAGTTGTGAAGACTACGTAGCCTTCATGACTAGAACACCGTAGTTGTGAAGACTACGAAGCCTTCAAGACCAGAACACCGTAGTTGTGAAGACTACGTAGCCTTCAAGACTAGAACACCGTAGTTGTGAAGACTACGTAGCCTTCAAGACTAGAACACCGTAGTTGTGAAGACTACGAAGCCTGCAAGACTAGAACACCGTAGTTGTGAAGACTACGTAGCCTTCAAGAGTAGAACACCGTAGTTGTGAAGACTACGTAGCCTTCAAGACTAGAACACCGTAGTTGTGAAGACTACGAAGCCTTCAAGACTAGAACACCGTAGTTGTGAAGACTACGTAGCCTTCAAGACTAGAACACCGTAGTTGTGAAGACTACGTAGCCTTCAAGACTAGAACACCGTAGTTGTGAAGACTACGAAGCCTGCAAGACTAGAACACCGTAGTTGTGAAGACTACGTAGCCTGCAAGACTAGAACACCGTAGTTGTGATGACTACGAAGCCTTCAAGACTAGAACACCGTAGTTGTGAAGACTACGTAGCCTGCAAGACTAGAACACCGTAGTTGTGAAGACTACGTAGCCTGCAAGACTAGAACACCGTAGTTGTGATGACTACGAAGCCTTCAAGACTAGAACACCGTAGTTGTGAAGACTACGTAGCCTGCAAGACTAGAACACCGTAGTTGTGAAGACTACGTAGCCTTCAAGACTAAAACACCGTAGTTGTGAAGACTACGAAGCCTGCAAGACTAGAACACCGTAGTTGTAAAGACTACGTAGCCTTCAAGACTAGAACACCGTAGTTGTAAAGACTACGTAGCCTGCAAGACTAGAACACCGTAGTTGTGAAGACTACGTAGCCTGCAAGACTAGAACACCGTAGTTGTGAAGACTACGAAGCCTTCAAGACTAGAACACCGTAGTTGTAAAGACTACGTAGCCTTCAAGACTAGAACACCGTAGTTGTGAAGACTACGTAGCCTGCAAGACTAGAACACCGTAGTTGTGAAGACTACGAAGCCTTCAAGACTAGAACACCGTAGTTGTGATGACTACGAAGCCTTCAAGACTAGAACACCGTAGTTGTAAAGACTACGTAGCCTGCAAGACTAGAACACCGTAGTTGTGAAGACTACGAAGCCTGCAAGACTAAAACACCGTAGTTGTGAAGACTACGAAGCCTGCAAGACTAGAACACCGTAGTTGTAAAGACTACGTAGCCTTCAAGACTAGAACACCGTAGTTGTGAAGACTACGAAGCCTGCAAGACTAAAACACCGTAGTTGTGATGACTACGTAGCCTGCAAGACTAAAACACCTTCAAGATTGAGACACTTATGCAACATATTCTGCATAATTATCTCAATCTTCAACCTGTCGGTTTTTTAAACCATTTATCACACCATGGATCTTTCATATAAGAATATTTTGACCTTGTAGTAAAAGCCTGTAGTCACTGAAATAGGCAGACTTTTTTATCAGAAGGATTCGTGATAACTCAAAAAATAATGGGCCCAAGAATTTTCAATACACTCCTTTCATCTGTAAGGGGAAATTGCAAATAGATTTCCATAACTTTCAAAAGGGTGGACCAGTAAGCCAGTGGAAGGCTCCGGCTGCGGGTCATCATATAGCTAAGACCCGCATCAGGAAGCACTAGTCCTGTTTTTATGAACTGCAACGGACAAGTAGAAGAAGCAAGAGGACTCCCTGCTCTTCCCCAGCACTCCGACTCTGGCCAAAGTTGGGGTGTGGCTCCAAAAGGATCATGTAGTGCTTGCTGCCTTTGTACTTTCTGACATCGTCTGCTGGTACGTAGCTGCCATGCCCTTCGAGCCCGTGGGGCGGGGTTAGTGGCAATCCAAGGACCTAGCTTCTCCCTACGAGCCCTGTGAGGGCGGGGAATGGGGCTAGGACTAGGTCCTAGAAGATGAAGAGTTACAAACACCTCCCATGAGAGACATTAGTCAAGACACTCCGTAAATGAGGAGCCAAGGCCGGGTTACAAAATTGAGAAGACCTGAGCCACGATATTATCGGCAACCCTCGTACTACTACTAGTCTTGTTTCCTGACGAACCTTACCCAAGCTTACCAGATTCCCAGCTGTCTTCCAGAGGTAGTTTATGACATTAGTGCATATGTCAGACTGCTTGGTACTAGTACCAATAGCAGAGTGATCAAGTCAAGAACCAGGAGATCTGATCCTCGATATCACCAAAGAT